GGTTACCACAAAAATTCGTATTCATTACGCGCGTAAATATATATGTTTCATATTTTCCCTCCTAAATATATATATATATATATATTGTATAATATTATCGTAATATATTATTATGGAATTTTTCTCTCCCCCTGTGTAATAGTTATTATTTTTCCTTGTAGCACGCATATCCACTTTATCTTTTTCCAATACGTGGCAAGGTCAGGTAAAACAATCGAGGTCATTGACTATGTGGAGCGACATAATGATAAAATCAATAGTTATTATAAATTTTCTAAATTAGAAAATGTAATACTCGTTTAATGTAATAGTTACAGTTTCCGAGGTTGATGCTAGTAATATCAATCCAAAGCGAGTTCTAAACTTTGAAATTTCCTGCTGTTAATATTCCGCGGTGTGTAAACCACGCTTATAATTTATATGAAATGAGTACAGTACTCGTAGTTGCAGGTGAATAATATTCTGTACGGAGTATTAGACAATGTGGTAGGTGTTCCTATTTCTGAATCTGAATATATGTACCAAAGCACTTTAAAACGACGATGTCGTTTGTTTTTATTCATACAATCGTCATTGCATGCAATAAAATTTTTTATTTGCTCGAATTAAACAAATCTTACAGCAGTCGAAGTCATGGAAAAAAAGATTACGTTGTCACAGCTTTTGAAACTTGGATAGGACTCTCCAAATGGAAAAGTTAGTTTAGGCAAAGTCACGTTTGCGTGGATACATTACTTTTCACTTAGAAATTTTTTACTATGCTTTGTATGCGCCAAGTATTGACCCTCCGTTTCTCTATAGTAGCTGTAAATCAGCATCTAAAAGTACGAATTTGTTATTAATATTTGAATCTTTGCGATACGAGTCATACATGATGATTCTATTTTTCCTGAAGATATTTAATTCAGACTACTATAAAATTTCGATAAAAATATGTATTATTTTCTATAGTTTGATTATATTAAAATATCAATATTAAACAATCTGCGACTAAATTAAATTTGGTTATAATTCTTTGCTAATATTTTTTGTCTCTCCGTTCTGATCTTTTTTATTATCTGCAAATAATGATAAATTGTATAGTACTTTTCTTTGCATTTATATCGAAATAGATAAACGAGAATAATCTTAATACAATTAATTTTAGTATAAAATTAAAATTATTAATATGTTTCATATATCATCACATTGCTTTCTTGCAATTTTGAAACTTTGCAATTTTGACGTAATCAATTGTATTTTGATTTATATATTTCCATTTCAGTGCATTGTTATTCCGTGTTATTGCGTAAGAAATGAAAAAATTTAGAAGTAAAAACTACAATTTCGTTTGAAAAACTTTGTAAAAATATTTTTAACTATTCATACGTTTGAAAATAGATCAATGATAATCTTGGGATATTCTACTTCTCATAGAATTGTTCTTGCTACAGTCTTTTTAGTTTTTTTTTATATAGAAAGAACTCCTAATTCTCTATTATATATAATTATATTAATTATTTATAATAGAGAAGTATTAAATATAAGAAGAACAATGTTTAACGGTTCTTATTCGCATATCATCAATAATTACTCTGAAAAGGATGCTCGTTTCCATTTTCTAATTCATTGAATAATCGAGTTGCAGATGCGCGTTTTTCAGGCATTCAATTTCACCGTGAATCCGCGTATTTCCTCTTTTTCCTCATCTTTTCCATCGGCTCGATGTCCTTTGGCCCCTGTGAAAGTTCTTAACTCTTTGAACAGAATCGTGTGTTGGTGAATTTAGGAATGAACGATCCCACCCGCTTGCGAATCTAATTCAATGATTTTTGAACTTGTTATATAACTCGGATTTTCCAAACTTCCAAATCAAATGACGATTTTAGAGACTGTAAAAGGAAGTAATTAAGGGTCGCGAAATACTTTTATGAAAAATGTTCTACACTTTCAAAGGACTGAACTTCTCAGTGTAATAACTTTGTCCGTGCAAAAGGGCTTAATTAGCGTAGGAATTCAGATACAGTATTAAGTGTTCTCATTCCAATTTTACAATTATTTGATTAAATAATTATATATATAAATTAGAATTAACAGATGGTGACAACGTCAATCTCATATGTGCTTGTAACAATAATAATAGTAATAACAATAATAATAATTTGCATAACAATAGTAATAATAAGTTTAACAAAATATAACAACATTATTATAACAATAACATTAATTATAAGTTATAAACTGAAATTGATATCGCAAATTTATATAATCATAACCTGTTTCTGAATAAATTAATATTTGTACGTGTATGTGTGTCCTCGAAATGTCTAAACGCGCAATTGTTCTATCTAATATTCTATATTCCGTATTGTGCGTGAATTCGTGTAACACACACATTTCTATCTACGTCACTCTACGATGATTGTGATAATCGTCAAAAAACGAGAGACGACTGGTGAAAGGGATAGTGATGTGTTTACAGTTTCGGATTTTATTAACAGATTCAACAGTAACAGTAATCGCGTCGAATATGCCGTTATCCGAATGGTGACGTGCCAATTCAACGCGCAACAATCGTATGAATTTTCGATCCACTCTAGCTAGGATCACATCGACGATTTTTTAAACTGAACTGACGGGCGGCAGAAATCGGCAATATTTGACCTGCATTAACAACGTGCCGATGGCATATCACTTTTGCGTTTTCGCGCCGTGCGTGTCCGGCTCAATTCGTGCGTAAGTACGACGTGCATCCAATCGGAATTACAGCAACGTGCCTAGATTTAGCCAGCGTGGAAACGAGAGTGGCTGTTTAACGGGAGATTTGATCTGGAAATATTCATGACTCGTCTCGATCCCCGAAATTTCTATGCCACGTTTGCGTTTAAATGCGTTTTTCTGTCAAATAATAAAGCTTCAGTCTCGCTATTCGTAGAGACAAACGCGAGGTAATTCGTTTCGCGGCGTTTACACTTCAATGACGGGCTAGACACGCGAAAATGGATGCACTTGTTTCGAGAACGATATATACCTGACATTTATGACACTTCATATTCAGTATTTGCATCGAGTGCTACTACATGTCGCGATAAGATAATTATATTTGTTTAATGCTTCCGTTTTGATGTAACGTTGCTATTTGAACGACTGCCACGTAAAAGGTATATCTAAATGTCATTTCAATTTTCATAATTTTGTGTCGGATATATTTCCTTAAATAAGTCTCCTGTCATAACTCTGTCGAGCTTATAAAACCAGCTTTGTGATGATATTATCATAATTATTTTGAATGTAGACGCAATGTATTTTATTCGTTTTTAAGATAGTTTTATGCCGAAAGAAAATGAGCACGATTTATGTATCAGCATATTTACGATAATTACGATTACCCCGTTAATTTCAGAATCTCTGATAGAGTACAAGATTATACAGTCCTAACACATTCGCGTCCATTATGGTTAATACGTAATTTCGCGGATGACGTTCCTGTATACTTGATGGCTGTTCACACAGAATCGGTACTGTAAAATTAGTTGCACTGTTCTCTTGTCTCAAAGCAGAGGAACTATCCTTGTTTCATGTGCAGAAAGGTACTAAAGGGCTGCGCTTGTCGCGCTTGTCGCGGAACTCAAACTCGAAACTGTCTTCAACTCGACACTTCCGATGAACTTTGACACCGGCATTTAGGAACGCTGCAATAATAACTGCTCTTGTGAATTATCTTCTCATTACTATCTTAAGGCAGATGGTAATTGAGTTAACCTGATTCGATCTTTTATCTGCCTTAATATAATATACACGGTCGCTTCTTCTGTTCGTTGTTTCTTAGTCGAAAGTTTTCTAATTTGTGTTATATTTCAGCACCTTATTTCTATTATTAGTTCTATACGTTCTCTACTTTATTGAATGACGGAAAAGATAATAAATTCTCAACAAAATCCAAATAATTATTTATAATTTTATAAACATTGACCGGATGTTATCTTCTCGTTTTAGATCACGTTATAGAACTTACCTGCTGCTTTCACGTTAATTCATTGA